CACACTTGAAATTTAGACCTCCTTCAATCGGTACTTTTCTTCAATTCTTTAATTTGAAAAAAAAATTCGAAAGAAATTATTTTCTGGAATTCTTGAGTTACTGTTGATAAGAGTGATGTTAATAAATATATCGTTTTAAAATTTTATTATTATTCAATGTCTCACGAAGTTTTATTGGAAATAATTTTTTTATAATTATTTCACTGTGAAATAATTTTTCTGCGTACGACTGTGGAAATTTGTGAGTCATCGCATGACGAAACCTAAAAACGGTAGATTTTTTCACGTCAATCTAATCCACCTCATAAATTTCCAAAAAATATTGAAAATAGAAACGCCATCGGCAGTAACTCCTCAACGGAAATATCCCTCCGGAAATTCTCCAGGATATTTTTTCAAGATCTTCGAAGGAGAGACTTTTTTTCTACGCGAGTGAGCAATTTGATAAATTTCGGTTGAATTTATTTTATTTTCTCGTTCTCACCGGAAGATAAAAAAAGAAATACACGGAGAATCGAATGAAAACTGGACACCCGAAACTAAATCGATTGTGGTGATGAGACATTGTCCCTCAGGTTTTTTTCACTCTCCCATATTATTTCGGGTGACTTGATGTTTCAACCGAGGTTCATGGATTTTTCACGTATTTCTCCAATACTCGACAATTGATAAATTTTTTACTTCAACTGATTCCGTGAGTCATCCATACGAATGTATACATTCACATTGTCGGTGAATATCTGCATACGAATGGGGAACATTGTTCCTAGCGGAATAGTAAGAATCTGTTTCATGCCGCACGCAGCACACCAATTTTCTATACCACAACCCACGCTTATTCTTTTACCCGTCTCTCTCTTGTTGCGTTTGAAGACTGATGCCGCTTGTCAGAGAAATTCCTGCATATTATTTGTTTGTCTCGCCTTTTCTCTTTCATCTTCTTCAGTGTGTTTAGGTTTATCCATTGCTAGGGTGCGGGAAAATTTAATGTCACCATTTACAAATGTGATAGTATTTTTTTAAATATCCATGCTCTGGAGAAATTTATAGTACAAATATTGCACAATGATTTGCGTTCTAACAAAGATATCGAATATTTCTTTTCGCAATGATGTACCCATAATGAGAAAAAAAAAATTACTACATTAAAAAAAATGTTTTTAAACTAACGAATGAAATTAATGAATAGTCCATAAGCCGTATGTGATTGCAAGTGCTAAATAATTAACTTCTTAATAGTCGAAAAGATAATTTAATTTAATTAATTCATTCATTTTTCTATTTCGATTTTATATAACTATATTATTAAGAGTATACGCATTTGTTTGTACTATATATTTTTAAAGGTAATTTGTTAATTTATTTTTAACAGTAAATTGGCGTGAATCTTTCAAAAGATCAAATGAATCAAATAGTTATTTAAATAAAAAACGTTTTCGATTGTTGTAAATCGATAATTGAATGAAAACAGCCATTTTTGGTCGCTAATGGGTTTATTGAATTTTTCTCTCAGTGCATGCTTATCGAAAATATAATCTGTCTGGTCAGTTGAGGTTCATTACATTCCCCGGAAAATTTACCCTAACGAGGAGACGAACGCTCATTCAGACGCCACTGATTCACCAGACACATGACCCGTCCTGAACTTAGAAGCAAATAACTCCCAGACGCGATTGATAATCTAAAACCCCATCCATAATTTCTTCGTTTTAATTTTTAACCAAACCCGCCTAGTCTAAATTTCCACCGCCGCCTCAAAAATTAACAAGACTACTTTATAAAATACCCAGACTGGAATTGATGAGAGTATGAATCTCATTACCCAGCAGACATATGAATAATTCATCAACTCCAATTGTTATCTCAACCCCTTCGAGTAAACAATGCTCCAAAAATTTTGCAACCCTGAGGGGCATGGCACCCCGAGATTTTCCCAAGGAATCTTCGATGCACAAAAAAAAATATTTCTACCTCACCGAAAAGTGGACACTAATTTGCGAATAATCCCAAACAGCAAGAAAGTCTTTCAAAACCATTAGCACGTAATTTTCCCCCATTATCACCAGAATTTTATCAAAGAATTGCACTGGGTGAATCGGAAAATGCAGAATGACCCGCATCCGCAACGAATAACAATTTTCTATTTCCCGATAGCCACCTGAAAATCATTGAAACATAAATTTTCGATTGAGCCACCTACAGGGCACTCTGAGCCCAGTCAATTATTCCATCGGGCAGTAATAAATAAATTATCCACTCGGTCAAACAACTCGAATTTAATGGAAATCGAAACAACCTGAAAAACGATAATTCATTGTAAACGAGACCTCTCCACTTTTTCCATGTGTATTCCATGACATTTCAATACACCTCTACCCCTTCCAAGTTTTCACTTCCATAAATCCCAAGCCAATTCAATGATGATCGAATAATGAAACAAATAAGCCACCAATAAAGCAAAAATTAAAAAATAAAAAATGATGGAGCGGAAGTCATTCATCATATGAAAGAAAAATAATTACCTTGCACTTACCGTTGCCATTGGAAAGGTTGGTGATAGGTCTGATAGGTCTGATAGGTCGTAACACATTGTTTTGACGGATTATGACACGTCATCACTGTAATTGATTCTAACGGGTTTCGTTGGGCCGCGAGATGTACGCGGACGATCGAGATATAGTAGCAGAGGCAATTAGTTTGGCGTTCGACAGTGCAGAGATCTCTGGCTTTTTCCAATAGTTCCTCGAGACCCCCGAGGCCCCCAAAGTCCCCGAGGCCCTCGAGGCCCCCAAGGCACCTCAGACACTCGAGGATCTCCCATTTCTTTCAATTAGTTCACTTAACCGTTTTTTTTTATACCAAACAAACGCCCAGAAAGCGCCTAACAAGGTGAGAATTTTCTTCCAACCGGTGATTATTCAATTCAGAAAGTTGATGTGTATTTCTTGTGAAGGATCATCTGAGGCAATACGCTGAGTAGTGTTTCTTCATCCTCGTCCTCTCTCTTGAATTCCAGGAGGGCTTGCCCGTTTGAAAGCCAAGAGATACCAGGCGTTCCCATACCGAAGGGATTTATCCTCAATTTTTACGTTTTTCTCCCGTTGCCCCTTCTCTTCACCAAGTTTTTACTGAAATGAAACGAGCCGAAGATGGAATCCGTACTACCAGACGAATCCCAGGGAGGGGATTTTCGTACTGGTATGGCATCATGGGCATTCTGGGATACCAATGGAAGACCACAAGACGCCACTTCGTTTATGCTGTATGATATTTTCTTTTTATGTGAAAGAGGAAGAGAAAAAAAAAATGGAGAAACCGAAGAGGTTGGGATATCTGTGGAGAATTTGGCATGCTCTGCCGTATGTTTCTGGGCAGAATCACAGCTGAAAGAGAGTAAAAATAAATGTTGAGAATCAAGGGCGGCTCGGATGGATTTTCAGAGGTGTACGAGGAGAAATTTTCCTGACGAGAATATGGGGAATATGGGATTTGAAGAGAATTTTTATCCAGTCTCATCATATTTTTATACTACCGACGAGACGATTCAGGACTTCCGACAAATTATCACAGATGTTATTGGTTATGTAGTGGATAGCGTAATCCGTCTGGAAAATTTACATCATAATGGTGGATAAAAGTTCGGGGGGCTTAGTGTTCAAGAAAATCCAATTCAGGTGAGCATGATAATGTGTGTTGGAGGGTAAGATTTTGCGGGCGATATTGGACAAGTTTGAAGACATTCACTAATTTTAAATCTACTTTTTCTCTCATCATTGAGAATGGGATCACTGAAGGAAATCTTTAAGTTGGAGGACTGATCCATTTAAAAGCAATTATCCCAGGGCTTCAGAGCCCCATCGATTTGGGTAATTAACGTCTGCATGGCTGTTTTATCTCTGGCTGTCGGAAGAATCATCATCACGTTATTTTTAGTTCCACTCGGGAAACTTGAAGATGATTTATTTGTGCAACCAAAACGTTTTATCTTCGTTTTCGAAAATAAATAATCTTCTATCAATCCCACGTTGTCTTCTCAATCCTCCGTTTATGAAATAATTTTTTCTTAATTTAACTTAAAACAAAGTACTGATTCTAGACAATCGTGTATGACGCAAAAGAACAATGAAATATCGCTGGATGATGTAATGATGTCAAGATAAGGGAATAAAATTAAATTACACCGTGTGATATGCGTCTGCCAATTGATAAAGAATTTTACGACTAAATGGATAGTCATCATACGACAATGAAATCTGCCAATTGCTATCAGAATGATCCGCATGTCAACAGAGGAGTGGTATGATATTCATCGACATCCTATGGCATTCCCATCGCGCCAAGCCAGAAAATAACTCATGATCAATTGTCGGCAATAAATCGGCAACTCGTAAAGTTGCGCGAGACCGAGTGCAGCAAAGTAGGGTAGAATAGAGTGAAGCACGGGCTAACAATTCTTACCACGTTTAACCAATCCTCTCCTTCTCACTGAACAACAAAAATCCGATTAGACAGGGACAACAAGCATCTCATGACCCATTGGAAATATTCCATTCGATGCTCGCCTCAACCGTACGTATACGCGACATCGATTCATACAGCATACGCTGGAGATTCCAGAATGTGGCTATCGAAAGCGAGTCGAAAGATAAGTGTGTACGTGATCACTGTACCAAACGATAACTCGACTATTGGATACAGACTCCATTGGTGAATAAAATCAAGGATCGATAAGTTGGTGAGAAGTCACAGTATTTTCGTGGCTACCTGTTACCGGAATCCAACGACAACTTCAACTCACCCAGATCCTAGCTGAAAATACCAATAGATAAAACTCGAACAATCGTATTGTCAATGGATTTCCTCATGCAAACGTCGAAGAACAATGTAAAAGTTTCTCCTGGAAAGTGAAAGCTATTTTGTAGATCTTTATCAGCCGTGAATGATGACATGGGAATGGGTATTTCAAAAGATTGACAAGACAAATATTTATGTTTTTCCATTATCAATACTTCGTAGTCTCTTTCTTTTTCTCATTTTTATTAGAAAAAAAATTCGTTCAATGGTGTCTTTCATCTCGTTCATGAATTAATTTAGTATAACAGGTGAATAAAATGCATCGCGTGAAACACTATTTACAACAATAGAATACAGTTTAAGTTTTCGCTCTCGTCTTAGATTTTTCACATTTGTTCTAAGAAATATTATAATATAAGAACATTTATAGGATGGGCCCTTGGAGATTTGTCTCAAACAAACCCGCTGTTTTCTTTTTTTCTCGTTCTATATACAAAAGTAGATACACTATTTACAGAGGTTTCTTTCCTTATGGACTAATAAGCGTTGGGTGGCTTCACAGACATGAAAGCCACAGTCGGCAATTGGACAGAATGAGGTAACGTGACGCTAAGTTGCCTCAAATAACGTGAGTCTTGTTTACTTATTTTTTTTTTAACTTTTTTTTTCCATTTCCCCCTCCACACTTCGTCGAATAATATAAAAAACAACCTATGAAAAATGTAAATGCCGGCAAGTTCAAGGAACTACTACTGGTGGCATTTCTCGAGAAGTAAGAGCAGGCATAGAAATCAATATAAAAATTATCAACGTTCGCTATAAGTCTTCATGTATGGACTTTGCCGTCATCGAGCCCATAACTCACGTCTGTCCCTCACCTGACAGCCAATAATTACACGCTTCTCACTGCAATTCAATTACCATACAACCGCTTCACATCCCATTCATTTCCAGTCTTAGTTAGAGGAACCCTAGGAAAGATGGGTTCACACGGAGCGTCCAGAGAACTCTCCCTCCGCACTTCCTCACAACAATAAATTTCATCTTAAATCCCTACATATTTTTATTCAAATGAATAAAAAAAAAAGAAAGTCTTATGTACAAACGTGGGAGTTTGAGTGAAGAAACTCGAAGGGATAAAATTGGATGAAAGCAATCTGGCCCGACACTTTACGATATTTCTTTAAATACACGGATGTAAGCTACACAAAATAAGTACGAGGATTAACAGGCATACCACCACCAAGTTGTCCCTGCGACAATGGTGGCTCCGGTATAGTACTGTAAAGATGGCTACCACGTGAGGAAAGACTCGCTGGTCTACCATTGGCAGTGTGAAGGGCACTGTAGCCACCGTGATGCTGATGCTCAGCACCGCTGTCCTCGTCCTCAGTTCTGCTCGATGCGGAACTAACGTAGGTCGACTGCGTAGGGGTTGGCGTGGGTGCATGATGAACCGGAGCGACCAAAATGCCATTTGGTTTGGCCCATAGGTCCGCTGGTGCCGTGGGTGCGGCTGTGTAACGCGCCGGTACCCTCACACCACATCTGTCACCGTTGATCTTCTTTCCATCTCGCCTTTTGTCCGCTGGATCTGGCATAGCGAATCTCAGTTTCTCCCAGAAACGCTTGTCACTCCATGTGATGACCTCGCACGTCTGAAGTAGCAATTGCAACTCGGTATCCTGATTACGGGGTGCCTCGGCTGCCAGAAGAATGACAACCCTCCGCCGTCTTACACTCGGCCTAATGGTATCGAGTACACACCGAAGAGCTGCCCGAAATTCAGGATGCTGCCACTCATTCGCGAAGAATACTGGTGAGAATACCAAGACAATTCGTCGAGCTGCTGCTGCAGCTGATGGTAAAGCCTCCTGGTGTCTCGATGGTGGCAAATCACGATAATGAAGACAAAGACTCAATCCCGATTGCTCCAATTCAGCTGATAAACAGCCGGAAACAAAGTCCTGATCTCTCTCGTTGTATATGATGTAGCCATCGTAGAGTCTGTCACGTTCTTCATCGAGTGGAGTTGCTACTTTGCCCAATCTAAGTCCATACTTGGAGTGCGCCCACAAACGTACATCTTGCCTGAATGCAAAAGCAAGTGCAACGACCAGGCAAATGACAATTACCACAACAAGTGCACCAGCGAGTAGAGGTACAAAGTTACCACCCATGGGAGCTGTATCTGGTACACCCCTGGAGACAGCCTCGGTGGATGGATCACCACAGCGTCTCAGTGCCTGGGCAAGAGTTTCTGTGCCATCTCTGCAATACATCTTCTCAGCATCGCCATCATGCTGTCCCAACCAAGCTCTCAATTTAGCGGTATGACTGCAATCACAGTTCCAAGCATTACCCTCAAGTGCAACTCTTGCACCAGCTCCCGTTCCAGCTAATGCCTCCCATGGCCTGAAATCGACGATTCTATTGCTATCCAATCTCAACACTTCGAGACTCTTCATTTTATTAAAAGTCGTATTGCCAACTTCTGCAATAGCATTGTGGTCCAGATAGAGCTCTGATAGTTTTTCCAGTTGATCGAACTCAAATCCCCTGAGCTCCCTCAGTGCATTACCCTCAAGATGTAAAACACGTAATGCCGGTGCACCATTGAATGTTCGATTATGGAGAGCGGAAATGGCACTGTTATTCAAATACAATACCTCGAGTCTGCGTTTGCCAATAAATACGTGACTACCCAAATCCCCAAGATCATTGCCATCGAGATAAATTTCTGTGGCATCCATGGGAATTCTCTCCGGTACATCCTTATAACCACCATTGGAACAATCAACGACATTACTCGACCAACTGTGATCATGATAACACGAACAATTATCGGGACAAGTCATTTCACAATCACAAGCGTCAAAATCACAACAATGACACAGAGCGAAGCAGTGAGCTTCGTATCGGCAGAGAAAGTCCTTGGCCCTAAGCGAGAGTAATGGACGTCTCGGTGTTGCCCTTATGTGGACCATGTCGCACGTCACAGCATCCAGATCCATGACCCTGGGGTACTCCCTAGGTCTCGGCTGCTCATTGATCTTGGGAAGCCACTCCATCGAGCAGTCGCACAAGAAGGGATTATCACCGATATGAAACTCAGGCAAATCCCGCTCCACCGGTACCTCCTGAATAGCCAAAGCCGCAATATCTAGATGTTTTATTTCATTTCCATAGAGAATCACCTTCTCCAGACTGGTTTTCCTCAAAAATGTACCGGGTGCAACACTCCTTATCCTATTGTTATTCAGTCGCAGTGTCTCAATACCATCGGGTATGCTAGAATCCGATATTTCAGTGATGAGATTGTAACTGGCGTCTAGCATCTTAATGTGAAGATTTCCCTGGACCATGTAGAAATTTCCCAGCTCGCTTATCTGATTGTTGTGTATGTCGAGCCAGCCAAGACTCGATGGCAGATGGCTGTAGTCAAACCACAGTAGTTTATTATCCGACACATTGAGCAATTGAAGAGTAGTGAGACTGGTGAATGCCCCTCGTATCTCTGTCAACTGATTATCGTCAAGTCTTATGGCTCGCAGCTTTGGATTACTCGAGAAAGCGCTCTGTTCAACGTGCCTTATGGAATTACTTGCAAGATTCAACACTTGTAACTCCGGTAACCCGGAAAAAGCCTCTCTCGTGACATTCTCTAGTTTATTATCAACCAGCCTCAACCCATACAATTCATCAAGCCCTGCGAATGACTCCTTATCAATCTTCGATATCCTATTGTTACCCAAATCCAGTGTTTTCAGGGCTCGTAACTCACGTATTGCCTCCGGCACATCCGTAAATGAATTTCCGCTCAGCGATAGCTCTTGTAGGCTTGTAACATTAACAAAGGCATGACGGTGCACATTGTGCAGCTTATTACCATCCAAGAAGAACTGTACAAGCGAGCCAAGACCCACCGTGTGACTCGGCTCAAAACGTGAAATTCGATTGTGTGAGAGAGTCAAAGAATGTAAATTCCTGAGTGAAGCGAAGCAACCATCGCCCAGCGTGTCGATGTTATTGTGCTCCACCTCCAATACCTGGAGGCTGTAGAGGCCCTTAAAAACATTGCTGTCTAGTTTTGTCAGATCATTGTAAGACAGGTCCAGAACGACGAGTCTCACGAGTTGTGAAAACGTGTCACGATTAACCCAACGACTAGTCAACTCATTATCACTTAGATCCAACGACTGCAGTTTTTCCAAACTGTCTAACAATCCCGGCCCTAGCACAGCAAGTGAATTATTACTTAGCACAAGTTCCCGCAATTCTCTCGTGTCCGAGAACAACTCCGGTGGTAACGCAACAAGTCTATTACTCGATACATTTAATCTCGTTAAATCCGATAATCCAGCTAGCGCGTGATCCCCAATATGCCGTATATCGTTGTCCTGCAGCATGAGATTTGTCAATTTAACAAGACCATTGAACGAACGATCGGGCAGTGCACTCAAGTCATTGTCACTTAAATCAAGTATTTCAAGCTTTGGTGTGCACATTGACAAACGCTGGGAGAAACCCAGTGACAGAACGTCCTGTAACTTGTTGCGCGTTAAGTTCAAACTCACGAGTTCAGGCACTGTGCACAAAAGTTCCGTCGGCAATGACCATACATTATTATCACCAAGATCCAAATCTCGCAGACCCTCGAGACCCCTCAGTGCATCACGATTGATCTCCAGTGACATTCCAGACCAGTCATTGTTGCGTGTTCTTATGGTCAAACTACGTAGATTGCGAGCTGATGCAAATGCACCAGCCGGCAAATATCGTATCTTGCAACGTTCGATAGTAAGTTCTTGAAGGTGTCTCAGTGGTGTCAAAAAATCCCTGGGATCCTCGATCTGAGATTCAAAGAACAAAGCATCATTGCACTCAAGAATGAGCGACGTTACCGAATCCGCTTGTATTGTTGATAGATTACCAATCAGTTCAACGGCATTGGCTATAGTTCTCAGTCTACAAAGCAAACTCTGTTTCTCAGAATTATAGTCTCTCCTCCACTCGCAGCCACGAGGAGCTTCTAAACTTGTAATACTACGACACAATACAGTGGATAATGACAACACTAGTGTCAACCACTGAACAATGTGTAACCCCATTATACCTTCCACCAGTTTTTCCTCAGGTATTTATTACAAACAAAAATAAACAGTATATCCTCTATCGTCACGCACACATAATCACATCACCCTCCACTTTGTCACAGCTATTGTTCAAACTTTTTCCTCAATTAGTATTGATTTGCAATGAGGTTAAACTTTTCAACGATCACTCTAATCATTATTCCGGTTTGTTGAATGTGCGGGTATTACGCGTGGAGTGAAAACAGGAGCGGTTATTTGTTGCACAACTGTCTCGGTGAAGAGACGTTGGACGACTGACTGGAGAGTGAAGAGTAAAACTGGCTGGTGGGTTCCCGGTTCCGTTGGCCTTCTCCCCTCTACACACACCATCATCCCCTCCATCCGGATGGGAACATGGTACCCCCTCCTCTCTGGATTTTCGTGTATATATGTACTAAACTGCTAAGACTGGTAAGGTAACCGTCCCACGGGCCAGGGCTGCATCTTGTCTCACTCGTTCCGCTGCTTTCAAGCATTTCAAGCCCACAGCCCCCACAGACCCCACAGCCAAGGGCTATATATGTATAGGGTAGACAGGTTAGGTTGATGCTACATCGCTTTTGCGCCCGAGGGTAAAACGCGACGAACCGGCTGACTGACAACGCTACTTACTAGGTAAACAGCCCCAACTACCCAACTCCTTTTCATTGTCGACTTGTTGGCGTATGTGCACTTTATGCGTTTAAAATATCTCAACCACGTGCTCTCATTGTGGTACTTTCCCGGTGGCTGCCGCCGAATTTAATTTATCTGAGGTGAACAATTCCGGGTGGAAGCATCTTTTCGGGGGACTCGACTCGTTCATTCAGAAATATTTTAGCCGGAATTCTACGTTGTTTTCATGAGAAATTGGCTTCTTCATTACGGGCTTATTTTGCTTTGAGATTTTTTTAACGGTTACCAGTTTTATTTGTGTCATGTTACGAGGTGACTAAGTTTAATATCGGCACCGGCGCCCTGTGTTTTTTATTTAAAATCGATAACCTTTTTATTCTTTGTTGGGGTATTTGTTTATGTGAGTTATAAGCGGTCGCCTTTCAGTTGCTGGTAAATGTAAATAGAGGCCAAAGGCGGTCTAAATAACATTCGTGGTGTGATATTGAAATGGGGTGAGTTATCATGAGCTTTTCATTTTGGGAATTGTGGTTTTCATTTTACTTTTTTTATTTTTTAAGCCGATTTTTTTAAACTTGGACTATATTTAGGGCGTTATTTCGGGGAATTTAATTATTCAAAATTAATGAATTTAGAGATATTGATAGGAACGAGAAATTTTTATTGAATTATCGAATGCAAATTAAAGGGAGTCTGAAAGTGGAGTTAAATATATCCCTGTACTTTCCGTTGTGACAATGGAAACTTCGGATTCTCAGAATTATTGAGATTTTCCCATGTCAAGATCATTATTGAATAATATGCATACAGGAGAAAGTTATTTAACAAAATTCATATATGCTCTAGTTGAAAATTTTTTTCTTATTTTCCCCCAGAATTTCTCGCGCGCCCAGCCACAAATTAATTTTCACAAAAATAAAGTTCGCCCGAGTGGA